CAGTGGCTGGTCTGGACCATCGCCAGCTCCCTGTGGCTGTGGCTGCTCCCTATAGTACCACCTTCTTATAGCCACAGCCTGCAGCAAAATTGTGTCTGGGTGCTGCAGCACCCAGCAGCCCCTATCATCACTCTGCCTGCAAAAGAAAGTCCTGCACTAAAAGCATGTCCCTCCAGTCCCAACTCCTTCACTGTGTCTGCGGAGAGGGCAGCGTGGGGCTGCTGATCTTACAACACCCCATGCCAGATGCTTGAACCCCAACCCTGCTCTGCCTATGCCCGCAGCCACGAGGCCACCCAGGCTCCTGCCCTGCTCTGCCAGGCTGTGGCCTCTGCCTCCCTCCATGTATGTGTGCTAACATCCTGAAACGCTGCTGGACTGTTAACTAATGTGCTGTCTCTCTTTCTCTGTCCTTCCTCTTTCTCATATTCTCTCTCTCTGCTTCCCCTCCACGTCCTCCCATCTGCTTGTGTCCTCCGGTCTGGTGCTCACTGCCTGCGGCATCCTAGCGAACCACCTCTCCCCACAAGCGCTGAAGTGGCGGGAGTACAGGCGGAGGAACCCCCTGGGTCTGGACCGCGTTTCGGGGCTGCCCGGCTTAGCAGGCAGCCTAGACAGGAGGCAGCAAGAGCCTCGGCTGAACCGGGGGAACCACATCTTTGAGCTGCCTGGCACTCTCAACACCAGCCATTTCCACTGCAAACTGAACGGTGCGCACCACCTTTCTGCTGGGGGGATCTTGGGAGGTGACCTTGGGGCTCAGGTTCAGTATCCCTTGGGGCTCAGGTTCAGTATCCCTTGCGGCTCGGGTTCAGCCTGGCCTCATCGCTGCTGTGCCTGCTCTGAGAAGGAGGGATGATGCATCTGCTCACAGTGGGGCTGAGGAGTACAAGAGGAAGGTGAAAATTGACTCACTGATGGGTGCAATCTCTGTGGAGCCTCCCTTCTTCTGCGCAAGCTGAGAGCAGTCAGGTCTGGCTCTGGGCTGGATTGAAGAGGAAAGTGGATGACCCAAGAGCCTGTTCAGGCCTCAGCAAGTGCTCCTGGACTGTGTCCAGCTTGTAGTTCATGTCTCGTTCAGGAGTTGTAGTCCTTGAAGATCTTGTGTCTGTGCCCCACAGTGTCTGCCCATCTGCCCCAGCCCTGGCAGCATGCTAGGTGCTGGGCTGTATCTCTCATGGTGCAGCTGGCAACACTGTAGGGCTCTGTGGGGCACTGTCTTCTCCATGCTCTGCCCTTAAGGCCTTGCCCATCCTCCAAAACCCTGTGTAGAAAGGGCTGAGAGGGGCAGGCTGCTTTTGGCTGAACCTTTGAGAGCCCTCTGGGAGGAGCAGAGGGGTCTATCTGTGGGAGGGAGAGCATTCTTGAGGCCAGCCCCAAGGCATGGAGGGAATTCCCCAAAGCTCTACACCTCACTCTGCCAACCCAAACAGCTTCTCCATCCCTCCTTCATGGGAAGATGCCTAGTGTAACAGAGCTGGGGAATCAACCAGATGGAAATCAAGCACGAGAGAGCTCCTGCAGAAGTCACCCCTTGAAAAATAGAGACTAATGGGGACAGGCAGAAGACATGTAGTTTGTTGCCTGTGCATGCATGTGTGTGACAAGTAGGAATTCTCTCTGTCCTCTACTTTTGACCCCACTTGCTGGGGCTATCTGCACAGCAACCCTGAGAGTGGTGCAGTGAGGTTTCCCTTAGCACCAGCTCATGAGAGTGAACCTCCCACAGCATCTTCCAGTGCCCGTGGTCCCCCAGGCAAGCTGGAGCTACGTATTGGGTGGGCCGTGGGGTTGAACTGTACAGGCTGACATTGCAAACCATTGCTGGGAGAGTAACAAGCCTGTAGCTTTGCTGTCGCAGTCGTGGACAGGCTGGCGTGAAGACTCCTGCTGGTGCAGGTTGCATCTGGGAATGCAACAATGTGGGAGAGGCTTTGGTATAAGGGCTTGGGGCTGATCCTTCTCCCCCCGTCTTGGCCCTGCAGGACAGTCTATGAGGCAACTCCAGCTTACCTACACTGACTTCTTCCCTGACTACTTCTCACTAGCAGAGAAACCCCCCGCTGAGTTCTGCCTCTCCCCAGATGGCAACACAGAGTCCATCTCCATTGACTTGCTGCAGAAGAAGGGTGAGTCCGTGCATCTCCCGTGGACGAGAGTGTGGCGTAGCACAGCGTAAGGCAAACAGTGCTTTTCTCTGTCTCACGTCATCTCTGTAGACATAATGGTTTCTTTCCCTGCCCTTCTCTACAGTAGCATCATAACTACATGTCCCCCTGGAGTGATGGCTGTTTCCATGGCAGGTTCTTGTGTTCTCTGCACCATGCAATGTGCCACAGAGTATGTTTGAGCTGCTTGTCCCAGGAAGTATGATTAGAAAGGATCTTAAGTCCATAAGAAAGGGCAGAGAGAGGAGGCAGGCACAAGAGTATGATCCTAAGGCAGGACATGCTGCCACCCCTGTCTCAGTATACAAGGGCAGGCCTGTGAATCCGTGTGTTGTTGCAGATGTGCTAGCCTGAGATTTTGTAATTTAGGTAAAAGGTCTGTTGGGTCCTACATGGTAAAGTGTTTATGTAAAAGCGTGGGAGAAAGGATTCCAAAGCAGGACAAGCTATGGCTGTGATGAGATCCATGCTAGAGGCAGGCTTGGGGACTGCGTTGTTGACAGCTGCCTCGGTGTCATGCCGGAGGCAAGGGACATGCAGAAACATTCCCATAGCTTTGCCAGCTATGTGTTGGTGATTACCAGGTGACAGCCTTCCCCTCTGTGCCACTTCTCTTCTTGCATCATACTGATGCAGATGTCAGATTGCCCACCACTGGCTTGTTACTGAAAGTCATTACATAGCTTGCCAAATGTGTGGCTTCTGCCCTGCCACCCTGTAGGACCAAAGCAGCAAAACACTCCTTGCCTCAGACCCTATCTCTGCTCCCCCAGGGATGGTGCGTGGAGGTATGTTCCCAGTGTCCCTTGGGAACATTGGCAGGGTGTCTTATGCTTCAGCCACTTCTAAAGGTTGTCCTGCTGTCAGGCTGATACATGAGTGTTGGAACCGGCAGGGATGGATTTGATGAGAAGTTAGGGAGGACTCTGCATGTTTTTGTCAGAGGGCATATGCACTGACATGGGCTTCTTCATGAAGTGTTTGGTCAGGGGCTGTCCTAGAAGCCCCTCTCTGATGCATTCTATCCCTTTAGGTCTGGTGAAGGCAATCAACACTGCTGTTGACCTGATCGTGGCTCACTTCGGAACCAGCAGGGATCCAGGGGTGAAGGTACGTCTTGCTTTCAGTATGGCTTCTCAATATCATGCGTGACAGGGAGAGGGTGGGGAAAGATTGCCTCTCCATTCTCTTCCAGTCAAAAAATACAGGGCATCCAATGAAGGTAGTAGTACCAAGAACAAACCAAACAAAGGCGATGGTACGCCTTGTAGCAGATGATAGTACATCTGTGACAATTCTTGCTGCATGATGCTGGGGGTGGTGAAAGAGTATGTGGACTTAAGGGAAGACCAGAAAAACACAAGGAAGGGAAATTCATTGAGGTCTACTAAACACAAAAATAATGTCCAGCTTAGGTAGCCTATGAGTTGAAAGTAGTTGCAGGCTGTGAGAGTATTAAGGGCAAACCAGTCTGCTCTGGTTTGACTCTTTCTTATGTACTTACTCATGGCTCTTCATAACAGGGAATACCAGGCCAGCTGGACTTCTGGTCTGATGCAGTACACCAGCTCTTTTTCCTCATTCAGTGGAGAGTTGTGTCTCTGTCCTCCACACGTCCCGTGATTCTGTTCTGGCCCTGGTGCGAGGACACAGCGCAGTGTCCCCCGTCCCTCGATGTGTCACAGGGCTCCATAATGATAAAAAAGTGCATCAGTCATTGCCCATCTGGGGCAGGTGGGCTTCCCCTGTAGCCCTTGCCACCAACCCACTAGCTTCAGAGTGCATCTAGGTTGCCTATGGGGCTGGCTGTCCTTGGCCTGTGCTCCCCTCATCTGCCATTTCTGGAATAACAGAGAAGCAGAGCAAGCTCTCTTCTGTTTGTCCCAGCCAGTGTTTGCAATCCTGTGACACTCAGCATGTTTGCGGTGCCTCCTCTCAAAGCTGAATGCTCTGCTTCGGTCAGGGGACTCTGGGGCAGCAATGTGACACTATTTGGACATGACAACTGCCCTGGAGTGCCATCCCCAAGGAGAAACCTGAGTGGGACAGATTCCAAGCCCATTCAACCTTATCTCAGAGCCCAGAGTAATTTGCCCCTAATTACAATTGTTGCTGATGCCGAGAATGCTGTGCAGTGTAACTGGAGATATTGGGATTCCCATGCTTTTTAAGGCTTCACTGTGGTTTTCTTATTCTTGCAGTGTTGGTTTGGGGAATTATAGCATCATTCCCCCATTACTTTACTTGCCAGACAGTGCTGTGGTTTTGACCTGGGGTTTCATTATACGTCAGCGTGCCATGGGCTGAGCATTCACCTGTGAAAAGGCAGCACCCATCCCTGATGCTCCCGTGCTCAATGGATCTGGTGGGATTATTCCTGACCCAGAAGTTCAGTCTCAGTTCAGGGCCTTTGTGGACCCATGCCAACTGGCCAGTATAATTCCAGCTCAGCTGGTAAAATCTGTGCCCTGAATGCAACTGCCTGGGACCACCAACATGACATGCCAGGCCTGGGGCTGACCCCTTTGGGGGGTCAGCAGCTCAAGGACTATATGGAGCAGAATATGTCCCCGCTTTGCTCATGCTGGGCTCTTATGTGCTCCCTCACCTCAACCTGAGCTCTGTCCATCCATTTAGCCCTCACACTGCTTATTTATAGTAATCCCTAGGAATTATAGCTCGGCACGTCACTGAGTTAAGTGTTCCTTAAGCCCTCGGTGCTGTTAGTTCCTATGTGGCTTGCTGGTTCCTGCTTCAAAAATAGCAACAACAAAATCTACAGCAGCAGAAAAATCCCCTACTCTTTTCTTCGTCCAGCAGGACAGCCTTGTTATACCTGTAGAGAGAACCAGGCATCCATTCTAGCTGGGATATCCTCTTCCCAGGCTGGCATATTCTCTTCCCAAGCTGTTGCCTGATCCCAGCCTGGGGCAGACCTTGCAGAGAGCAACCCAGAACTGGTGTATGAGGCAGCAGGGGTGAAGGGGAAGAGCCTGCCTTTTCAAGGAGCTGCTGAGCATCATCATAGCCTGGATATTGTCTTCTGGGTGTTTAGTAGGGAAGTGAGGCTGGACTGTTCACATGCATCTGTACCTTGTAGAGCAGTTACCAACCCTCTCTCCCTGTTGCCTGTTCTCCCTTAGGCCAAACTTGGGAACAGCTCCGTGAGCCCCAACGTGGGGCATCTCATCCTGAAATACCTGTGCCCTGCTGTCCGGGACATTCTGAGTGACGGGCTCAAGGCTTACGTCCTGGACATGATCATTGGCCAGAGGAGGAACATCCCCTGGAGTGTGGTGGAGGCATCCACCCAGCTAGGTATGGAGGGTGTGCAGCGATGCCCATTGCTCTGCAGTGCTCCCGTGTTGCGGCTGGGAGGTGCTGGGGAAGGTTGACTATAAGGATGGGGATGCAGAATAATACCTGGCTCCCTGCATGGAACAAGGTGCACCTTGACCTTCTCTTGCAAGGTGGGAGAGCCACTGCTCTATTCTGTCCAAATATTTATTGTCATTTTCCCTGAAATTTCTAAATTCTCCTATAACAGCCCCTAGCAATGACAAGAAAAAGAAAGAAAAAAAAAGCTAAAAGAATGCCCTTTTCCTGCCCCCTGGATTGTGGCAGTGGCTACCATCCCTGGAGGTACAGATGAGGCTACAGATGGCAGGGCGATACTGATTTCTGCATCATGAAGAGCTTACATCCAGGGCTGGGAAGCCTTCTAGCCTGTTTGTGGCAGATCTCCATCTCTGGGGTTGTCACTGGGATTGCAGACACCCGAAATTATAACCACCCACAACAATATTCTGTTTACCTGATGATTTAGAGCCAGGGGCTGTGATTGGCCTTGAAGTGTGGGAGGCAGGTCCTTGCAGTATTGAAACTCTCCCTAAGTTTTGGAGTGGCAGTCTGGGACAGACCACAGCCCGTCTGCCTTGTGGAGTCTAACTATTGGGATGGAGTGAGCTCGTCTTGGCGTTTGGTGGAGGGGCGATGCACATACAGGCATGGGCACTTAGCCAGTGTCTGTCTTTGCCTTGATGCTCCTTCCTGTGGTGCCATTTTGGCTTTGCTGACCACAACTAATCTGAACATTTTGCATCTCTCCATAGGCCCCTCTACCAAGTTGCTGCACAGCCTCTATGGCAAGATCAGCCAGTACACGGAGCTCACCAACCACACCATGCGGTTCAACATTCCTCTTTTTGGCCTCCTCAAGTAAGCAGGCTCCCTGGGCTGGCCACATGTCACTGTCCAGGGCTGGCAGCAGGTGCTGGTTCTTGACTGCAGGCAGGCCCAGGCACCCAAAGAAAAGTCTCCAAGAACCCGGGGCAGCCTCTCCCCAGCGGTAGGTGAGGGAAGGAAGAAGCTGTGAGCCTCAGGGCACTCCAGAAGGATCAAAACCTACCCTACCAGGCCAGGACTGAGAAGGTGTGGCTGCAGCCCACTAAAGAACATTGTCAACTTGTTTTAGCCCCAAAACATTAGGTGGGAAGAGTCTATCTGTAAGGGTTCATACAGGGTTAGACATAACACATGGATAGATTACTCCTGGAAAGCCCTGCTTAAATCACTGCTTCCTGGAGCTGCAGTGAATTCCAGTGCATGAGGTTCTAAAGGAGAAATTTCCCTGGTCCAGCACTCAAGGCTGGCCCTTCCAGGTTGGATAAGGAGTGTGCACACCACACTCAGTGTTAAACAGAAGAAGGCAGCAATGTCTCTTTACTGGTCAGCAAGAGCTCTGGCAGTGGCAAGAGAGTCCCCAAGACCTTCAAATGTTGGTGGACTCCTACAAGCAGGAGCAAGCTCTGCCCTGCTCTCCCCATCCCGAGTGGTCCAGCTCTTCCCTGCTGGCACAGGATACCAGCATATTTTGGGACAAGCCTGCAGCAATGGTCTTATGTTTGTAGATGATTTGCCTCTTCCACGTGAGCCTTTCTCAGCAAAGCTAAGCTCTGCCAAGGACATAGCTAAACGGTGAGGAAACTTGCTGGAAATATGGTTGTTAGGGGTTATGGTTGCACAATGCCTCATGTCAAGCAAACTGGATGGCTCCGTGACAGGCTGGGTGGCTGTGGTCAGTGCACACTGATGGGAGTGAGCCACTGCCCTTTCACTAGGTCTTGAGGTTCACAGCTTCATGTTGTGTAAATGCCCTTTTCCAGCCACACTTCGTTTTGTAGAACAGCAAGTATGAAGGGGGTGAATCAATTTTCACTCTTTCTTTCCCTGCTTGTTTTCCCTTCCTGCAGTATCCGGTCCTTGGAGTTCTGGTTCAACCACCTCTACAACCATGAAGGTAAGAGCCTGTGGGCTGCCAGATCCTGCACAATGTAGAGCACGGTGGGGGTGTGCATTTCTCTTGTTGGTCTCTCAGCCTGGGCTGCTCCCCTCTGCTCTGAGCTGAAGGACTAGCCTATACACAATCACTGACCCAGGGGTGTGCATTTCTCTTGTTGGTCTCTCAGCCTGGGCTGCTCCCCTCTGCTCTGAGCTGAAGGACTAGACTATACACAATCTCACTGTACCAGGGAAGTCCCATGTGGAAGTCAAAGCTCCATGCAGCTCCCTCCACCTGAGCCTGGCCAGCCATGTCCTTCCCAGCTGCAGCTAGTACCCAGAGCTATCACCCCCAATGCAGATCCCTCAGTCTACTTGCAGGAGACCAGATCTAACCCTCCCCAAATTTCTGTGTTCCCTGCCCAGTGCCTGAGAGCTTTGTACGGCTGGAGATGTGCACACTTAGCTGAAACCCTTCAGGCATGGGAAATGGAAAGGAAAACCCCCTGACAAACAAAAAGCAGATTTTACTGGATGTATCTCTTTTTTCAACCAGAAATGTTTCTAGAGCATGCACATAAGCCAGCAGCCCAGCGGAGCTGCCTGATGCTTAGAAGCAGCATGACGAAGTGCTAAGTGCACAGTGAGACAGATATCCTTGACCTGCTGGATCCCGAGTGTGCCCCTGGTGCAGCCTGTGCCCAGCCCAGGGCCCCATGCACTACAAGAAGTCCAGCCCAGTGTCTTCTGGCAGGTTTGGGGGATGACAGCAGACATTTCCCAGTTCTATGTGTGCAGTCAGCACTTCTCTCTGGAGCAGACAGGAGAGTAGACTTGCCTTTGTACTGAGCAGTGTGGCAAGAGAAAGCATCCTGGTTTTCTGGAGCACACAACCATCTCTTTCAGGCCATCAGTAAGAGCTGGAAGTGTGAGCAATAGCTAGGGCTGTTAGGATGATGAAGGCTAGGCAAAGGGCTTGGAGATAAGATGCAAGTCCTGTCTGTGGTGTAAGTTTGTCATCTCACTGGGGCCAAATGGCCCCAAATCCTGTTCCCAACTCTCTCCCTGGGAGTGAGACCTGACAACAAAGCTGGTGGGGAGTACTGCAGATGTGGCCAAATGAAGTGAAGGATGAATGCTGCGGGTAGAAATGCTAGTCCATTCTCTGTTAGGATCCACAGTTCAGCCCAGCCAGGTCCCTGGACAGACTGTATTCAGCTGTACCCAACTTCTTTCTGCAGGGGACTGGTACTGGCCAGATCTGCAGCTCCTTGTTCATCTCCAGGAGGTGGGGAAGAGAATTTTAACATGTGCCAACCCTGTGATGCTCTTTATTCGCACCCTACTGCCATGGTATTTTGTGGCAGTGATCCTGGTCTGACAGGCTTGTCCTGGCTGCAGGCATGACTGGAAGCAGGACTTGGGCCAGTTTGTCCAGAGCATCTGGTGCTCCCTGACCCAGTGCTGAGCCTCACACTGCAGCCACAGCTGTGAACAAAAACTCATGTCCAGCTCCCTTCCCCGTAGCTTCAGCAGCTTCTTGGTGGCTTGGCTTGGTGGCTTGGCCTCTCCTCTAGTTAATGTCTCTTGCCTTACAGATATCATCCTGGCACACTACCAGCCAGTGGGCTTCTTGTGCCTGTCTCACAGAGTGGG